TGAGAAGTACTCACCCAGAGAGGTCTATCTAGTGAGTAGTACTCACCCAGAGAGGTCTACCTAGTGAGTAGTACTCACTCAGAGAGGTCTATCTAGTGAGTAGTACTCACCCAGAGAGGTCTACCTAGTGAGTAGTCCTCACCAAGAGAGGTCTACCTAGTGAGTAGTCCTCACCAAGAGAGGTCTACCTAGTGAGTAGTACTCACCCAGAGAGGGTCTACCTAGTGAGTAGTACTCACCCAGAGAGGTCTATCTAGTGAGTAGTACTCACCCAGAGAGGTCTACCTAGTGAGTAGTACTCACCCAGAGAGATCTACCTAGTGAGTGGTACTCACCCAGAGAGGTCTACCTAGTGAGTAGTACTCACCCAGAGAGGTCTACCTAGTGAGTAGTACTCACCCAGAGAGGTCTATCTAGTGAGTAGTACTCACCCAGAGAAGGTCTACCTAGTGAGTAGTACTCACCAAGAGAAGGTCTACCTAGTGAGTAGTACTCACCCAGAGAAGGTCTACCTAGTGAGTAGTACTCACCCAGAGAGGTCTTTCTAGTGAGTAGTACTCACCCAGAGAGGTCTACCTAGTGAGTAGTACTCACCCAGAGAGGTCTATCTAGTGAGTAGTACTCACCCAGAGAAGGTCTACCTAGTGAGTAGTACTCACCAAGAGAAGGTCTACCTAGTGAGTAGTACTCACCCAGAGAAGGTCTACCTAGTGAGTAGTACTCACCAAGAGAAGGTCTACCTAGTGAGTAGTACTCACCCAGAGAGGTCTTTCTAGTGAGTAGTACTCACCCAGAGAGGTCTATCTAGTGAGTAGTACTCACCCAGAGAGGTCTACCTAGTGAGTAGTACTCACCCAGAGAGGTCTATCTAGTGAGTAGTACTCACCCAGAGAGGTCTACCTAGTGAGTAGTACTCACCCAGAGAGGTCTACCTAGTGAGTAGTACTCACCCAGATAGGTCTACCTAGTGAGTAGTACTCACCCAGAGAGGTCTACCTAGTGAGTAGTACTCACCAAGAGAAGGTCTACCTAGTGAGTAGTACTCACCCAGAGAGGTCTATCTAGTGAGTAGTACTTACCAAGTGCAATTGTTCCGAGTAACTAGTACTCAATCAGAGAGGTAATCTGAAGTGACAAGTACTTCAATTTGAATTCCTTTAGCCTAGTCTCTTTTACATCTTAAGTTTTGAAAATGCTATCTTTCATTGACTTTTTTTCTTAATGTAATAAATACACAGTACTTAGCAATAGTGAATGATATATTTAATTATGAAACAAATTATGGAACAAATTCTAAAAGAGTATTGTAACTGACACTAATGACCAAAAAATCTCCAATTAGTGGAACACATCATAACTTCTGCAAAGACAAGTTCATTAGAGCAGAAAACATGATGCTTAAGCAGGTTTTTCAGTAATTAAAGGATTGCAACTTTCATCTTCAAAAATCCCATGATCGATAAAGTGTCTCCATTTCTCAGGATTAAAATCAGTTGCCATTGGATATATTGATGCATTTCATGTGGGGCAGACAAAAGGCCATCTTGATATATATCATGCTTGTCCTCATCCTTGCATACTTAACCAATATTTATGTATATCTATCGTAATGGCCAATTTTTATTCCTAAATGGTAAAGCTGTTGCAAGTATGTTAGGATTAAGGCAATGGAATACATATTTCCATTGTCTGCTGCTCGTCTTCCAGTTCAGAAGCATTTGCATCCTTTTGATGGCCATATTGAGATTCTAAGGAATATTCAACAGAAGTAGGGTGATCCAGAAAAAAAAGAATTCATTTGAAATATAAACCACTAGATCAATAAATAAATCAGCATCATTTAAGAATTAATGTTATGCTTTTTTGTGCTGAAGAATGAGCACTGCTTGAAGGGCTTAACTGACCTTCTTTGGTACAATGTCCTGTTTGATGTCTCGTAAGTTTAAATATTGGATAAAGAAGTTCTTTGAAGGTTTATTCCCTATTCAAATCTTTATTCATCATCAATATTCAAGATTAATATTCAATTTAAAATGCACTTTAAAAATCAATCTACATGTCATTTGGGATTTTTTTTTTATTACCTAAATTTGAGATTTACAGGACCAGAGATGCTCTTGAGATAGATTCTACAGAATTTAAAGGTTATGAGAACAAGAAGTACATGGAAAAGACTTTTTTCTTTTTCCTTTTTTTTTTTGCTACATAATATTAGAGTCAATCCGGGTAATTTCGACCGACGGGGCAAATCCGAACACCTAAGAATTTATTAAATTTTTAAAAATATTTTTATCTTGTTTTATATTTATTTGTACCTTTATATTTTTTAAAAATTCAGTCATTATTTGTGTCCAATATAATAATATTAATAAAATTACCACATGTAAAAACACATGAAAACTTGTGTGACGTCACCAAAACATCAAAGTGAAAGCGAAACATCAAAGCAGACCGACTATTTGGTACTTCGGTACAAATAGATTTTCTGGTAAGTATAATTTTTTTCTCCAGTAAAAATTAAAGTATATTTGCATAAAAAATGACAAAGATGCTGAAAAAAACTTAAATCTAAACTAGTGGGTATTGTTTTTTTAACAAAAAACACATGTCTCCCCTTCTTTAACAACATTAACAAATGCAGTTTTACTATGAAGGTGAAAAACAATAATGCAGTGCATCTTTCAAGTCTTTTATAGGATCTAAAGTTATTGTCTGGTCTTGCTTTTTTCTTAATTTAATCTTAAAAGAAGAAAATGGTCAAGGTCAAAAAAATTGATGTAGTGTATTTAGGCTTAAAGTTGTCTTTACTTGTCAAGAAAGGTATCAAGTTATCAATTCAAATATATTTCATATGAACGTTTGACCTTGACCTAATAATAATTGGATCAAGGTCAAAAATTTCCATCACATAATCTCTCCACCTAAGTGTCCTCTGCATGTTACAAGTTTGAAGTCTAAATGTCAAGAGATTCTCAAGTTATGTTCAAAACATGTTTTTTTTCTCTATTTGACCTTGGGTCAAGGTCAAAGTCCTTGTGCACTAGATCTTGTATTTAATGTCTTCTTTCTATGTTACATGTTTGAAGTCCTAATATCAAAGGGTATTCAAGCTATGACGTAAACTCTATTTAGATGTAAAAATTTGACCTTGACCTAATAATATTGGATCAAGGTCATATAATATGATCACATAAACTTTCTCCAATGTGTCCTCTGCATGTTCCCAGTTTGAAGTCTAAATCTCAAAGATATCTCAAGTAGTGGTCAAATCATGTTTTTCTATATTTGACCTTGAACAAAAAAAGGGTCAAGGTCAAAGTTCTTGTGCACTGCATCATGTATTTAATGTCTCCCTTCTATGTTTTAAGTTTGAAGTCCTAATATCAAATGGTATTCAAGCTATGGCCTAAACTCTATTTTGTTGTGAAAGTTTGACCTTGACCCAATAAACATTGGATCAAGGTCAAAAATTTTGATCACATACACCTTTCTCCTATGTGTCTTCTGCATATTCCAAGTTTGAAGTCTAAATGTCTAAGGTATCTAAAGTTATGTTAAAATCATGTTTTTTCTCTATTTGACCTTGAACATAGAAAGGGGTCAAGGTCAAAGTTTAGGTGCACTACATCTTGTATTTAATGTCTTCTTTCTATATTTCAAGTTTGAAGTCCTAATATTAAAGGGTACTCAAGCTATTGCCAAAACTCTATTTTAATGTAAAAGTTTGACCTTGACCTTATATATAGACCAAGGTCAAATATTTTGGAGGCGGACACTTTGCCTCAAGGTCATCTATCTAAGTTCCAAGTATGAAGTCTTCAGGTCAAAGGGTATTCAAGTTACGGCCTGGACAAAATTTGGATGAAGAAGAATAATAATAAGAAGAAGAATAAGAATAAGAAGAATAAGAAGAATAAGAAGAATAAGAAAATCGACAAAAACAATATGTCTCCCCTTCGGAAGGGGAGACATAATTAAGAATTATATTTAAAACCGAATAAATAATGAAAATTACCTGATCGACTTTACCCCACACTCCACAATGGATACATAAAGGGGCTTTTCCCAAACAAGTCGTTCCTTAAATTTACAAAAGGACAACTCGTACACTTAATATTCGACAAACGCTACAGAATATATTCTAATTTTTATTTTTTTAAGTACAGAGTTAAATATTTGTCTTTTAATTGCAGACATGCCACGGAAATATGTTAAAAAGGGGGTGTACCAAAATTACAGTCCCGAGGACATGGATAAAGCTTTAGATGCAGTAAAAGGGGGGTTAAGTCTGGGAAAAGCAAGTAAAATGTTCAAAATTCCCAAAACAACTCTGAGTGACAGATTAGCTAAAAGAGTGGTTCCTGGCGCTCCAATAGGTCGCCCCCCGGCGCTACCAGCCAAACTCGAAGAGGAGTTGGTAAAAAAAGTTGAAAATGCGGCTTCCATGGGATTTGGGGTCAGCAGGCAACAGCTACTGGTCAAAACTGGGCGTCTAGTAAACAAGCTCAAAATCAATACACCGTTTAAAGGAGGTATACCAGGCAAGGACTGGTTTGATGGTTTGCGAAAAAGACACCCGTCACTTAGCATAAAAAGGCCCTTGAAACTATCAGTGGTGCGGTCACGGATGTTGAATCCGTCTGTAGTTCAATCTTATTTTGACACCCTGTCAAAGATTGTAACTGATCTGAATATACAGAGCAAGCCTGAAGCCATCTGGAATGCTGACGAAACTGGCTTCCAGATGGAGCACCAGCCATCATCCATGTGTGCTAGGAAGGGGACCAAAGTACCCGGAAGGACATCAAACAGTCGCGAATCTATTTCTACCCTACTTTGTGTGAATGCTAGCGGCAGTTCTATGCCTCCAATGGTTGTTGTACGAGGGAAAACAAAAAGGTGCCTTCAGTCTTGGGGGGTTGAGGATGCACCTCCAGGAACAGTATTCACCTACCAGGCAAGGGCTTGGATGGATGACATTCTGGGCGAGGAATGGTTTCACCAGGTTTTTTTGCCCAACTGCGGTCCTCACTGTCCCTAGCTTCTTATTCTCGACAGCCATTCCAGCCACGAAGTTATTGGGCTGCTGGAAGCGGCTGTCGAGAATGACATCCATATCCTTGCATTGCCCCCACACACGACACACTTTTTACAACCCCTGGATAAAAGTATAAACGGGCCGTTGAAAGCAGCATATAAGCGTGTCTGTTCCGAGCATATGAATAGTAATCCAGACAACATTGTCAATAAGAAGTCCTGGCCAGGTCTTTTCAGACAAAGTTTCGATAGAGCCCTTACACAGCAGAACATTACAAGTGGCTTTCGTGCTACAGGAATCTATCCCTTAGATAGATCTGTAATACCCGCTGACGCCTTAGCGCCTTCTAAAGTTTTTGAGTCCGCCACATCTACTCACCAGGGTGCTTCCGTCTCTAAATCTATTTCATCGACAGTGACTTCTGAACCAGAGTCCATATCATCTTTGACGACTTCTACTGACGACTCGACTCCCTCCACATCCTTCCAGATTCCTTCTATCTATGACCCTTCTGTGTCGGCAACAAGTCAAATTTCTTTCTCCGCCGAGTCAACTGTAGCGCCCAGCCCAATTCCATCTGCGTTGACCACTTCATCTGTTGTATCTAACTTTCAGCAACCTGATAACATCATCTCTCTTGAAACCAATCAACCAGTCGATATGCGTACTTCTAGCTTTGTTAGTGAACTTGCAGTTGCACCGTCTTCTTCCAGAGATCCAGATCCTTTTTTACCAATTACACCAGTGGCCGATTCAGATGATCAAGTTTTTAATCTCTCTGAAACTGTTTCCGCCTCACAAATTCTGTCTGATCTTGCAAATGGTGGTGTAAATGTTGAACTCATAACTCCAGAATGTGATGTCAACAACGAATTTTCAGATTTGTGGAATAACCAATTATCTACTCTCTTTGATGTCCCGTCCCCTGAGCAGAAAACACGACCAGAGTCGCAAAGTAAGAGAAAACTTACTTCCCATAGACTCCTAACATCAGATGAAATTTTACAAGAAAAGAAAAGGAAAGCAGAAGAAAAGAAAGAACAAGAACTCAAGAAAGAGATGAGAAAACTAAAAAAGGAAAAAGCACCAAAGAAAAGTGTGAAAAAATAGACTTGATTTAACACTGTATTTGAAAATGTTGTTTGTTATTTTGTTCATAGTTTATTGAAAGCTAATATATATATAACAATTACGAATTATATATATAATTATGTTACTGTTACATAAATAAAATCTTTATATATATTTCCCCACAAATAAAAAGAATTCAAGAACAGCATTTACATCGATCTATTTCTCTGAAAAAATTATAATTTTCCTCCTTCAATTAATTTTTTCCTTCGCGTTCGAAATTTCCCAACATGGACGAAATTACCCCATTTCTCCGTTCGATATTACCCCGTTGTCAATCGAATTTACCCCTTCCGTACCTACAACAGAAAAGACATAGATTTCATATCTGATGACGAAATAAAGCGTCAAAATAACATGGAATAAGGAAGTTCTCAAAACGTTTTATATAATGGGATATTAATAAGCCTCGAACGTTTTCTGGTTGCAATTATATTTACGATCAAGACCAAAGGTGTACGAAATTACCCGGATTGACTCTAGGTGCAATTTTCTCTTCTTTTTATGCGCCCGGATCGATAGATCCGAGGTGTATATTGTTTTTGTCCTGTCTGTCTGTCTGTCTGTCTGTCCGTCCGTCTGTCTGTCCGTCTGTCTGTCTGTCTGTTTGTTTGTCCCCAAACTTTAACCTTCGCCATAACTTTTGAACCATGAAAGATAGAGACTTAATATTTGATATGCATACTCCACTAATTAAGCTCTTTCAAATGACACCAAGGTCAATGACCTTGGGACCTTGACTGTGGCCTATATGCTAAAAATAGGTTTTTTCTGCAAAATTTAACCTTCGCCATAACTTTTGAACCATAAAAGATAGAGACTTCATATTTAGTATGCATATTCTACTAATCTAGTTCTTTGAAATGACACCAAGGTCAATGACCTTGGGACCTTGACTGTGACCTATATGCTAAAAATAGCTTTTTTCGAACTTTGTTGCTGCCGGGCGCATAGTGTTTCACAAACACATCTTGTTTAGTCCTTTTTCTCAGTTACTTTCCACCGAGTTTTCCTTTTTTATGATGCCTAGTTTGTGTACCTGCATGCATGCAAATATGTCATTATGCATATCTGTAGCCTGAAATACTAAAAATTCATTCCACAGAAAAGATAGTTTAAATAATACACTGATTTTGAGCACTCTTAAGCAAAAGACTTACTCCCATTGTTTGGTTAACTGTACACTACCTTACATGTTGAGACATGGATGAGTATGATTACTTCAAATGGTGTTAAATTATCACCAATCATCTTGTTCACATAATTGACCACCTTTTACAAATTCATTCAAGAAGCAACTGTTAGGCCACAAATCAATTGCTGAATATAGCCCCAAAACTTTAATAACTCTGAGAAGCAAAGTCTATTGAGAAGATATGGTTTGATGGACCAAATTTTCTGGAATTGTTTTCAGAACAATTAATACAAAGTTGACCAATGCACCAAAGTGTGACTTTTTTAACATGCAAACTGAAATTAATGCTCATTGAAGAAAAAGTATGACCAAAAAGCTAAATCCAGCTACTTGAATATCTTATTAAATTAATCTAAAACTATATCAAGCTATATAGCTAAATTTAGAAATTTTTTTTATTACATTCCCAAGGTTTAGAAATTTTGTTGGAAAATAGAAACTAAGTCAGCTCCTATGTCTGTCATGTGTGTAATTGGAGAGGAGAAAAATGCAGTGAACCAGACTGGGCTTCAAACCCGGGTCCCCTGCATCTAACCTCTGGTCAGGTGCTCTATCAACTGTGCTATCTGGCCAACGGCCATTGAACCCGGCTGACCACCAAATTCCTTGCTCCTTAAAGTTCAAGACCCCAACCCAGGCTCATCCCTGGCAGGCCTCTCACCTGTCAGTTCCAGGGAATGGTATGGCACCAAATGTAACAGGAGAGGAGAAAGATGCAATGGACCAGACTGATGCGAACCCCAACAAGGATTATCAAAATTTGAAAGAAGGTGAAAATTTGTAATTTTAACAATTAATAGAATTCAACTTCCTCTTATGATTTATTTCAATTTTTCATGAAATTCCTGTACAATTAAAGTGCTGGGAAGTCAGAATCTCTAAAGCTGCAAGCATTTTTCAAGTTGTAAGAAGAAACTGAGAAGCAGAGCATGCAGTCTTGAATTGGTAAAAGAATTAAAATACACCAATATAATGTTAGTCCCCATTACTTTCAATATAGTTCCCATCACTTGCAAACAAGTTCTTAGAAATGCAACCCATCTTTTAATGCTTTTCTGTGTTGTAGCTCAAATTTAATTTGCAAGACCCTTTCCTTTACACGAAAAATAGTATGCGTTCTGTTATATTAGTCTTGGTGTGACAATGAAGAACTTGTCAATGGTCATTACCATAATGACCCTTTCTTTTGATACCAAGGCAGGGATGCAAAATTACATGTCTAGCATTATATAAATACAATAATTTTGTCTCACAACATTGGAAACACAGTTTCTTTCAGATTTCTTGAAATAACCCTATTGTAAGTTTCATTTCCTGGAAAGTCTAATTTTAAGTTTCCTGGAAAGTTTAATTTACCTAAATTTCATTTCCTGGAAAGTTTAATTTAATTTTTAGATGTTGACGCTGCACGACCTGGCAATAATAATGATTCCGAAGCTTTGAACTAGACGATACCAGTTATCTTCAATTTCCATCAATTTCTGTTGCAGAGAAAAAAATTCCTAGTAAATTTTAGTGATAAGAATGTACAATTTGCCTCAAGAAAATTAAAATGAGCTTACCAAAAATGTGTAGGGTTCTCCCTACAAATTGAAATGGCATTTATAAAAGTATATGGGAGTTTTGCATTCCTGACAAGTTCTTCACAAATACACACCCACCCACCCCACCCTTTTTTTTTTTAAAGTTTTTTTTCAAATTCAAAGGTAACATTCTAAGATATGAATAAAGTGTGTGAGATGTTTTAACCACAAGCCATTTTTATACAGAATGATGATTCTAATAAGTGGAAACTTGAATGAGAAGGATATAACTTACTATTTGTATATCTGTGCTTGGAAACTTTTTATCCCCCTTGTCCATTTTAACATTAGGCTTAAAAACCAAGCAGTATTGCTGCTCCCCTTCACTATATCAATAATTTAAGTATGCATATACTGTACAATGCAAACGATGAAAAAACATTACAATGTTGTACTCTCAACATGCAGATGCTGGGTTCTAAATACAGAGTCAATTTGTAATTGTTATAAGCTTACATTTATTCTATTCTGTATTGACATTTTTCTACTACCACATCTTTCTGATTTATCAGTGTGTTTTTCTTTATGAAGCACACCTGTAACACTGTGTCAATAACTAATTCTACAGAGATCTACCATTAGGGCAGACAGGTATACAGATTTACATCACTCAATAAAATACTGTCACTCCGATGATTTGGTCACTAAAAATCTGTTTTTTTTAATTTATTTTCCAGTATTTAGGATTTTTAATTCAACTCTCTCCAATCATTGGGATAAAAAAGTAAAATGAAAATCATTTATGAACAAAAATCTATTGACCTTAAATTGGGTATAATTTGTTATATTAAAATTCTTTTTTCAGTTCTCATTTTTTTGAAATTTAATTTTCAAGATATAAAAGCAATCCTTTTTTTGCTACCAGTATGAAACACAAACAGACGGAAACATTAAAATCATGAAAAAAAGAAATAAAAAATAGAAAAATTTGATTAATAAAAAAAAATCACAATCAAAGCTTACCTTGACTCCTGAAATCAACCAACGCCATCCATAATGAATTAATCCAAATGATGCTGAAATTAAACAAAACAAAATCAATGCAGCTGTATCGAAATGTATCCTCAATATAACAACATGACAGATTGACATATAATAATTTGCCTAAATGGCCCAAGTATCAAAAAATTACCAATAATAGTTTTTCACACTGTATAAATCACCACATAATAAAAATTACTTAAACCGCCCAAAAAACACTTACAATTACTAAAAGATGAGATTTTGATGAGCACGTAATTGTTTATATTTATCCAGCAATAAACGCCATCAGATAGGCCACGATTTATGGCATTTCACCTAACGCAGGTAACCTGGGATATTGCTAAAGTGTGATGCTTCTCCAAGCTTCTGATGTTGATCTAGCAGGAATCAATACGACAATAGAGGAACCATTAATGGTAATATGTCCTACAATGTATTGATTTTACTGAACATAAGTCACGGTAAATCAAGTGTCACCACCGTGCTTCCTTTAGAGGTTTTAATTAAGTCAAGTAGAATTCGGTGTTCAATCTCAAAGTCCCCAACAAAGAATTGGATGATCAGAAAGACGAAAGACACATATCAATTCAAAGAACTACGCAATTTTCTGATTTCTCCTATAGTTATTCATTTCTAAATTTTAATTTAAAAAATCAAACTTAAAAAGATTAACTATGTCACCAGGGCCTTCTATAAAAGTTCAATGTATAAAAGACAATTTTTTCCCCAAAATTAATTTTCAGGCGCATTCGTTTACAAATTGCTCGAAGTTTCCCAAAAGTGACGGGGTAAGGTATTGACGGAGTTTGCCGGTGAAACATTGAATACTGACCCAAGTTGACCCGAGGTTCATTTTTCAATGTTGAATATTGAACTGGGGGTGTTTTTGAATATTATGCCTCCCAACTTAATTTACTTTAGAAAAAGCAAATATTGTCCAAGGTCAGATTTATACATGTAAAGCAAGTCTGTCAGTGTTGCATTCCTAGCTGTATCGTGCATTGCTCAAGAAAACTTTTATGATTACAAGGTATGGATCACTTCTAATGAGGTCCTGTACGAGCATTAATAGTTACCAGGACAGGGACCTGATCCATAAAACTTGAATCAGGTCATTTACCTAGGAACTAAAAGGCAGTCAAATGTAAATCAAGTCTAGTAGTATCATCCAAGCAAGTTTGGTCCTACAGTACTATTCCCATTACTTAGGAATGGACCCCCCCCCTTCCCAACCCAACTTTA